AATTAATAAGCATTGCATTGACAATATCAAATTAATAAGCTTTGCAATGACAATATCAAGTTAGCACCAAAGGAAAAAAGTGACCTATATTTACTAAACAGCATTAACTTAATTAAAGCATTATCAACTATCAACAACATAAGGCCTGATGTCAATATAAACATAGCATATATCTATATTGACTTTTATGTAGGCGAAAAATTTAGAAAAAAGGAAAGACTAGAAATTATTTAAATTTTTTAGCATCTTTTATTTTGTTTTTAAAATAATTTATGATACTACTTCTATCTTATATTAAAAACATTTCTATTCACTAGCAATTGTAAAAGATTGTAAAAAAAATTTGATATTGTAAAAATCTAACTTTTATTAGTATGTTAATCAAAGTATTTTTAGCGCTGTCGAAATTGAATGCAAAAAAAGTTAAAATAATATGCAACAGTGTCGAAATTAAATGAAACATTGTTGAAATGTACTGATACAATGTCGAAATTAAATGATACAATGTCAAAATGAGGTGGAAAATCCTGTAATAAGCAAATGTTTGCAAATACATTATTTCTAACATTTTTGGCAGTTTTTTGTTTAAACTTTTATTTCCATGTAAACCAAAAACTTATATAATCTTAATGAATTTAAAAAGTTTAACTGTTTAATTTCATATTAATTAAGATATTCTTAGCACTGTTAAAACTTAATACAAAACAGTCGAAATCGAATGCAACGGTGTTGAAAGGGAATGCACGTTTTCGAAATGTACGGATACAATGTCTAGGTTGAATAATAAAATGAGGTGGGAACCCCTGTAAGAAGGTTTTTTTAAATTTTTTTAAAGTAATTTAAAGCAAACCGACATAGCAAGATCACAAAGAGGTTTAAAAATAGATTTTATAAGTGTCTTAAATTCTGTACAAATATATATTATATATATATATATATATATATATATATATATATATATATATATACATATGTAAAAAAAAAAAAATTTAAGAAGTGCAAACAGAAGTATTAAAGAAAAACAGGTTTTTCTTTGTTTCATTTCATTAAACACTAAAGTTACGAAATGACAAAGATAAGATTTTGTTATTTTTTGGATTCAAAGTGTGAACACGTCGCCTAGGCAACAAGTATCTAGTTAACAAATGAAGCAATATTTAAATCATAAAAAATGATTTCATACCAATAAATTTATTTGTTTTATTTTTAGAAAAAATTTTCTTAACTCTCCTATATTGTCCAAATCTTGTAAATAATTTGACAGTATTCAACAAAGATGGAAAACCTATCAATTGTGTTCTTATTTTTATGCTCTATTGGATTTGTTTTGAATGGAATAGGATTGTATCTTTTGTTCACTCTTAAAAACTTAAAGGTGGACACCTAAAAGATCATAGTTATTAACCTCTCCATTATTGACTTTAGTTTAAGCATAGTTTTAATAGTACAAAGGTCAATTGATATTTCAATTGTGTTTGTTGAAGTTGTTCCGTTTAACTTTAACAAAGTCTTACAAATTTTTCAAAGTATTGTAAACCTTGGTTATTATTACGCAACATTTTGGTTGATACTTGATCGATACTTGCATATAAAACTCAATATAAAGTACCAAGTCATTTGGACAAGAAGAAAAACGGTTGTCGCAATAGTGATTTTATGGATTTTTTCAGTAATAAGTGGATGCATAGTTGGTTTATATTATTATCATTTAAACGCAGTTATTTTTGTTTGTTTAGACGGCATAAACTTGACGTTAGCGATTGTTGTGTACACTCATATTATTTTATTATTGAAAAGACAAAGAGCTAAGGTTCAATCCAATCACAACAAAAGAAGTCTTACAAAAGGATCTCTTGTATCTGTTGCTATCATAACCTCGTATATCATTTTGGTTGTAGTGCCCGATGTAATAATATCAGTGGATAATTTCGTTCATATAAACTCTTTAGGGCTTTCATTTTTTTTATCAATAGTTTACTCTCTTTCGTTGTTGACCGATGCAATGATATACATACTAGTTTCACCTAATGTTCGACCTATTCTCAGAAAGTCATTCACACTATCTAATTACCAGTCTAGCAAAAGAAGTAGCAATCGTTTAACGCAAACTTCTAGCTTTTCGCAGACAATCGTTCAAACTATCTAACTCCCAGTTACTGAATTTACAGTTGTTTAAATAATAGTTAGACCAGCTATCACAAACTAAACAAAAAGAAATAAGACATACAAAAGTAAGTTGTTAGGTAATAGATTGAAGAAATTAATAAAAAAATGTTTGTACAAGTAATTTTTTATCTAAATTATTTTTCACAAAATGTATTCTTTTTTTTTTATTCTTTAAATAAATTAAAAAAACTATAAAAGTGACTTATTCAATAAAGCTACAAGAAGGCTAGTGAGAACGTGACGTGACTAGAGGATTTAGTGTTTTACTTGAATAAAGTTGTTTAAGACGCTATCTAGCCATAAACCAGGAGAATTTGTTTTTGTGAGATATAATATCGTTTTTGACGCAAAAGTTCTGAGAGCATTAAAAATTTACATTAGGGCTCCTATTTTTTTTAATAAAATTTTATGAGACGGTCTTGATTTTGTATGTACATACGCAGTGGCAGAATGTGTCTTTAAATAAAAAGAGGGTGGTGGCAAAAATTGTGGTTTGTGCATACTCATTTTATGGAAGTCCTCTACTATAATATAATATAATTATAGTTTATATAATTATTGTACATTATAATTTTTTGTTCGGAAAGGAAGCTAAGATTCTTGATCTCCGCCCTGTGTGAGTCACAACTAGAGCCCCGCAAATCGGCAGTTTTTTTTTTCGAATCAAATCTCGAATTGAGGAAGGTTTTGATTCGCGATTCGAATCACGTTTCGAATCAACATTTTGAAGTCTAATTTTAAGCTCTTTTTATATAATAATATATATTTCAAAATAAAAGAAAATAATTTTATAATCTCATTATTGATGCTTCTTGCCTTGGATAACCATATTAATGACTGATTAAAAAAGTATTTAAGGATAAGTAACGTGATTTTGATAGCGCCAAAGCGCAGAATATCAAAAATACTCACAAAAACAAAATAATTAAGGATTTGATTTTTGGAAATTTTCGAATCGTATCTCGAATCATATTTTTGAATCGATTCAATTCGAAATTTGGAAGCTTCGCAGGGCCCTGTCACAACATTTTTATAATCTAGACAAACTAGATTGCAGACAAATTAAATCATTTCTAACAGAATATATGTTGTATATTTAACAAACATATAAAGTTATTTTTATACATATATTGTATGCATTAAATTTAAATTAATTATTTATTAAACATTTAATTAGACTATAAATGTATTTATCAAGTACTCTTGAGGAGTTTTTAAATCTCTTTTTTTTTTTTTAATTTTGAAAATTAAATTTTTTTTTTTTTTAAAGCAAATAAATAAAATAAATTTGTAATATTCTTTATCCATTATGCAAAATTAGATATTCACTATGCAAAAATTATAGCTTGTTAATTGTGTAAAAAAATATTTTAACAAATTTTAATAATTATTCAAGATATACTTGAACATTGAACAGGTTTCTAATAATATTTAAAAAGTTTTTTAATAGTATATCACAAATAATCTAAAATATTAATTTAAAAAAATATATGAAAAAAAAAAATGAATAAAAAGGCCTAAAAAAAAAAAAAAACTTGTAGAACTTTTTTTTTTCATTTTTAGTTAATAATATTTCGTTTTTTTAGCAGTAAAAACTATTTCTTTTATTATTATTTGGGACCTGTAAAACATTTAAGGACTTTAAGGAAGCCCTAGAATAGTTACTAAAATTTGTTAAAAAAATTTTTTTACATTGTAGAAAAACACAAGAATGGAAAAAAAAGTCAATTTGAGTGGTTTTAAATTTTTTTTTGCATAGTGGACACCCCTTACTATTTATCGAGTCCTACATTTTTTTTTGTCAAAAGACTAAAATATATAAACTTTTTAAAATTTTTTAATGAATTACTATGAATTTTAATGTAATGTAAAAGAGTTCATACTGCTTGAACAAAAAATAGAAAAAAAATAAACAAACTGTTAAGTAGATTTAAATTTTTCGTATTGTAGCGTGTTTTACTTAAGTTTAAAGAATTACTCAACAATCATTATTTAAAAAATCACCGGCTGCGATTTACTAAAGAAAGAAAATCATCGTCTATTTAAAACTAATGACAACTCAAAAATCATCGTCTAGTTTAAAATTAATGACAACTCAACCAACATGTGGAACTACTTCAAACTCAACATTATAAATATGTTATGTGTCATTTCACCAAATAAGATAATAAAAATACACATCAGGAATATAGACAACAATGAATGGTTCGATCAAGAGTTAAAATATCTGAAAAATTGCGCAACGATTATTATTTTGATTATGGTAAAACAAATAATTTATGAAATGTTTAGAAAAACGAGAAGGGATTTTATTAAATTAAGAAACGAAAAACTAACAAGTTGTTTGAAAAAAAAAAAAATTTAATAACTCCAAAGACTTTTATGATTTCTAATAAAAATTCATTAAAATTAATTCAAGTTTTGAAGAGAATTAATTAGATACTTTACAAAAACAAAAAGGCTTGAACGTTGAAAGATTATTATTTTTTAACAAATTCTTTAGTACATTCAAGTCTAATTTCGATTATGTTCTTTATGATTCTTATAACTTTATTAACAATCTTTTCAATAGTCTTAAAAAAAATAAGATTAAAAAAATATTGAATTTCTCATTTCTTTCTATTCATAAATATGAAATTGTCGATGTGTTTAAAAACTTAAAAGAAAAAGCAGCTGTGGTTATTTAGATACTTTAACGAATATTGTTACAAAATCATATGATTAAACCACTAATCCATTAATGATTATATTCAACAAATGTCTAGAAACAGGTAGTATTCCAAACTAATTTAAAGTTGGTAGTATTATGCCACTTTATAAATAAAAAGGTGAAATTCAATATATCAATAGTTATTGAAGTATTACTATAGTATCTCCACTAAGAAAAATGTTTGAACAAATAATTGCTAAAAGGGTAACTGCGTACTTTAAACAAAATGATTTGTTCAATGATGACCAAAGCAGTTTTAGATGCAATCATTAAGCGGCTGTAGCGCAGTGGTTAGAGCGCTTGATTTATTAGCAGGAGATCCAGGTTCGAAACAAAATTTGGACATATTTTTGCGTCGCAGTAAAGCAGGAGGCGTAAATTTCCTGGTTAAATGCACTTCCGTGATGCTCTGTGACGAGACCATTAGGTCTTTTTGGGGCATCTAAATAACATAATCAATAAAAAAAAAAAAAAAAAGTATGTCAAACTGTGTTACATGTTCTTATCTCTAAAAAAAAGCTTAGCAACTCTAAAAACTCTTTACATTAACAATATTTATTGATTTCAGATAAGCTTTTGACTTTTTGCTAATGCCAATCATTTTAAGTAATAAGTTCAAAAGTTAAATAGTTTATAGATTTACTACACGAAAAAAGAAATACAAAGTCTTAGCAATGCATACAAAATGATTTTATTTTTACTACTCTAAATTAATACTTAAAACAAAGATATATTTCAAATAAATCAACAACTAAAAGCATACAACCTACAAAGTTTTCATCATCGATTTTTATTCAGAGCACTAAAACTATGCAATAAAATAATTTATTCCACGAAACCAATGAACTTATTCAAACAATTTGATTATATTAATATCAAGTACAACACTTAAAATGAAAACATTTTAAACTTCAAAGTGAAAAAAAAAAAAAAAAACACGATGAATAGTGATTAAAGTCTTTTTTCATCAATTATTAGGCATTGCAATGACAATATCAAATTAATAAGCATTACAATGACAATATCAAATTAATAAGCATTGCAATGACAATATCAAATTAATAAGCATTGCCATGACAAAATCAAATTAATTAGCATTGCAATGACAATATTAAATTAATAAGCATTACAATGACAATATTAAATTAATAAGCATTACAATGACAATATCAAATTAATAAGCATTGCAATGACAATATTAAGTTAATAAGCATTACAATGACAATATCAAATTAATAAGCATTACCATGACAATATCAATTTAATAAACATTGCAATGACAATATCAAATTAATAAGTATTGCAATCACAATATCAATGCAATAGCATTGATATTGCAATGACAATATCAAATTAGCACCAAAAGATAAAAAGTGACCTATATTTACTAAACAACATTAACTCAATTAAAGTCTTATTAACTATCATTAACATTAGGCTTGATGTCAATATAGACATAACATATATGTGTAATGACTATTATGTACGCGATTATTTAACTTTTTTCCTTTTAGAAAAAATTTTTTTAACTCTCCTATATTGTCCAAATCTTGTAAATAATTTGACAGTATTCAACAAAGATGGAAAACCTATCAATTGTGTTCTTATTTTTATGCTCTATTGGATTTGTTTTGAATGGAATAGGATTGTATCTTTTGTTCACTCTTAAAAACTTAAAGGTGGACACCTAAAAGATCATAGTTATTAACCTCTCCATTATTGACTTTAGTTTAAGCATAGTTTTAATAGTACAAAGGTCAATTGATATTTCAATTGTGTTTGTTGAAGTTGTTCCGTTTAACTTTAACAAAGTCTTACAAATTTTTCAAAGTATTGTAAACCTTGGTTATTATTACGCAACATTTTGGTTGATACTTGATCGATACTTGCATATAAAACTCAATATAAAGTACCAAGTCATTTGGACAAGAAGAAAAACGGTTGTCGCAATAGTGATTCTATGGATTTTTTCAATAATAAGTGAATGCATAGTTGGTTTATATTATTATCATTTAAACGCAGTTATTTTTGTTTGTTTAGACGGCATAAACTTGACGTTAGCGATTGTTGTGTACACTCATATTATTTTATTATTGAAAAGACAAAGAGCTAAGGTTCAATCCAATCACAACAAAAGAAGTTTTGAAAAAAAAAAGGATCTCTTGTATATGTTGCTATCATAACCTCGTATATGGTTTTGGTTGTAGTGCATGATGTAATAATATCAGTGGATAATTTCGTTCATAAAAACTCTTTAGGGCTTTAATTTTTTTTATGAATAGTTTACTCTCTTTCATTGTTGACCGATGCAATGATATACATACTAGTTTCACCTAATGTTCGACCTATTCTCAGAAAGTCATTCATACTATCTAATTACCAGTCTAGCAAAAGAAGTAGCAATCGTTTAACGCAAACTTCTAGCTTTTCGCAGACAATCGTTCAAACTATCTAACTCCCAGTTACTGAATTTACAGCCCAGCAAGCACAATCATACGGGACCCAAACGGGAACCATCCCGGATGTCAAACGGGAACCGTGCGGGATTTACATGGGAACCATACGGGCTAAATAAAAAAAAACGAAAATCGATCGCCTGCTTTTTTACTTCTCCCGCATTGATCCCAGATTTTCCCCGAATGTATTTTGTATTATTTATAACTGTGATTTTTATACTTTTATTTAACGATTACTTGTTTAAAGCAATTTTTTCATTAAATTTTTCATTTTCTTTGAAAGCAAAACGTTTTAGCACGTTTATATACAAATTGAAAACACAAGCACATGTGCATGTATGTTTTATTAAATAAAATAAACTATTATTAAATATGTAATCAATATATATATGTGTGTTTGTTGCTGCATTCGATATATATACAATGTACATTAAACATTCTATATGTTGTTTTCCGTGTTTGCTGCATTTGAATTTCTCTCTTTTCGGCTGTCTTTACCTCTATCTCGAGCATTACCAAACCAAGCGGAAAGTGCTTCTTCAAGAAGCTTTTTTGATAAATTTTGTTTTGTTTCATAGTTTCTTTTTGCTGCACCTAAACATACAACATTAGTTGAAATAAATTTCATTAGCTTCTAAATCAATACATACTTTTATACTTTTGTGGCCACCTTAAACCATACTTTTTATTAATCTTATTAATTGTCATTTTTTTAGACGCTTAAATTCCTAAATATTTGCAAATATTGAAGATATAAAAAAAATTATCAATGACACAAGATAAGAGCCATCCATAAAGAACCTTTTTTAAGCATTTTTTGACCCCCCCCCCCTTGTTCACCGGTTGTTTTTTTTTCCTGTACCCCTACGCTTGAAAAGGACGTCACAAAATCGATACCGCCCCCATTATTTTAACCGGAAAAAAAATTATTTGATCTTACAATGATGCTTGACACTTGTCCTACACCTTTGAAAAACAAAATTAAAAATATTATTTTAAATTATCTTCATAAAAACACATATTTACATTTTTTTATGTTTATGTTACTGTTTTTCATGTTTATAAAATTGAAATAAAAAATCTATAAAGTGATGTACTTTTCTGACAACCTCCCTCCTCCGCCTTTGTGTCTTTTTAATCTTGACCCCTACCACCCTACTTAGATGACGTTCTTTATGGATGGTCCCCTAGGGTAAAAGTACTAATAATTTTTTTGCTATGAAAATAAAGAAATCAATACCATTAATTAAGAATTGCAATCCCACACTGCGAGATCTTGCATTATTTGAACACAGGGGAAACACTAGATCTACGCCACAGATTTCTGCTGGATCATCGCCAGTCACTGGTAAAATAAAAATGAATAACAATGCATTTATTCTTAATCTCTGCTCAATTGTCAACAGTATGTGGCTTATGTAATTTATGTAATATAATTTATATATGTCCACAATTTATACAATTTACAAACTATCAGAGATTAAAAATGCATGCACTGTATTCTATTTATATTTCCCACCAAATTGGCACGGATCCATAATTAATTTGTGGCGAGGAGCCATCAGTACTCTGAGCGGGACCTCGCATGCGCTGAAATAATGCGGGATCTCGAGGGCAGGATTGCAATTCCTACCATTAATTCAAGAAGAAAATAAAGAAAGTATAATATATATCATATTATGATATGATTTATATATATATATATATATATATATATATATATATATATATATATATATATATATATATATATATATATATATATATATATATATACATATATATATATATATATATATATATCATATATGATATATATTTCATATTATGATATAGTAACTATACCATACTTACAAAACATTATTTGAAATAGCTGCAATGGCTGAAATGGTTTTTTATTTTTCTGACCAGTTAGGTTATATTTTCGTGCCAGTTCATTAGAAAATAAAAATTTCATATTCCTTCTTACAAAATTTGTTATATTCATACCACCATTATTTACAAGGACCTGAACCTGGTGAAAAAAAAAAAAAGTAAATTAAAAACTAGTTATTTTTTTATTATTTAGGGCAAATAGGGCAAAGTGACCTAACAATGGCCGGGTCTTGCATCCAATGACTGAGGAAAAACTTGCAAAGTATTCTATGCATCGATGGAGGGTTGGGGCAGGGTTAAGGTTAGAGTTATAATAAAATAAATAAATAACCAATAAATAATAAAGTTTCAATATATATATTTTTTATTAAATAAATAAAAATATGAAGTATTATATAATAAAATTCAATAAAAATAATAAAAATCACTTCAAAAAGGATAATATATATCAAAATATTTAATTTAAAAATGTACATATAAAAAAAAAAAAAAAAAAGACTTAATATAAACCTATACTTTATTTGGTATATATTCAATGCAGGAAAAACCTTAAATAATAAGTTTACCAATTTTTTTTTCACATCTTCATCTTTCAACCTATCTTCAAAAGCTTCGACATCTTCAGTTGTTTTAAGTGGTAAGTTTAATTCAATTTCATCCTATGTAATGCCATGCGTTGAATTAATTTGTTGCTGAATGCTGTGCAACATAGCTGAATGCAACTTTTGCGTCTCTCTTATTTCTTCTTGAGCTGCCAAAATTTTCAACAACAATTTTTCTGCTTATAATGTAAAAATGAAGCAATTATTAAAAACCAATATTAAAAAAAAATTAATAATTCAAACAAAGTGGTATTCGATACTAGGGTGGAGCAATTTTCACAGAAAAAAAAAGAGTTTAAAAATTAACATTCCTGAGACGCGAATCGATCTTTATTAATTATAAGAAAAAAGTAAACAAATACTTTCCAATTATGACAAGATTTTAAGGTTCCTCCTAGGATTCTAAATTCTCAGAATTCGGGTCCTAATATTTTTGATTTTTTTTCCATAAACCATAATTTTGTACTCAAAACAAAAAGAAAAATTATTGTGTTATAAATAATTATTTGGTTTAAAAAAAAAGAGTTCATAAAATATTTCCAAAATATACTTGAAACCCCCATTTCGTTGAAGACGTTTTTTTTTTTTTGAAAAAGACAACACTATTTTTTATTCCTTTAGTTTTAAATAAAAACAAATGTTATTGTGTATACATTTATATGTATATAATATTGTATATATATTCAAAACCAGCAATTTCTTTTGAGTACTAAGTTGATATAGTTTAGAAGAAAAAAAGAGGAATCTCAAAGTAACTTAACAAAGTAAAATAACAAAAATTTGCAGCAGTGTAGCGCAGTGGTTAGCGCGCTTGTCTCAGAGTTTAGAGATCCCAGGTTCGAAACCCACCTCTGGACAAGTTTTTTTACATCGGTTATAAAGGAGGCGTGAACTTTCTATTAAATGCTCTTCTCCGCTGTGCTCTGTGATAAGACCGTAAAGGACTTCTTAGGGCACCTAAAGCAAATATTAAAAAAAAAAAAAGAACTAATTAAAATTACAAAAAAAGTAAGGTTCTTTTTTCACCAAAAGACATAGATTCTCAGCTCAGGCAAATCAAATTTCAAAAATTTTTAAAATCGCTTCACACTATTGGATACTATTTTGATTTACTTTTAATTGACATCATATTGTCATATACTTTTAAAAAATAAGTAGAAGGAAAAATGTTGGTGATGTATTTTGTTAATTTAGTGTCTTACCAGATGTAGTGTAACCAAACGTTTTTAACAATGGAGTACTTGTGTTACCAGGAATACCAGACATATCTTTTGACTTTACAACACTTTCTGACTGTAAATCAAAAGTTTTATTTTGTCTGTGCTGAACTTCCTTTTCTTAAAAAAAATAATAAAGAACGATATTGAATGATAATATTAGTAGCAGTTTAAAATGTTACAACAATATAAACTTTACCTGACGATTCTGTGCGTACCACAGGAGTTAACAATCCACTGTTTTCAATCTCAAAATGACAAACCCCTAATAACCCAAAATCAATACTGTTATTTAATTTTTCATAGTCATTAGTATAGGTACAGTTTATTTCTTATTTATATGATTAACAATGTTAATCATATCAATGATAATGAATGAAATCAGTTTTCGATTTACAAATATGGTTTATAAATAGTTAAATTTAATTACATGTTAAACATATAATTAAATTTAACTATTTATAAACCACATTTATAAATCAAAAACTGATTTCATTCATGCAATGATAAATTATTTTATTGACAATTATCAAATTAAACCACTAATTTAAGAAGTAAAATTTGTTTCCTACCCGACTGTCTCTCTGGTATTACAGGCTTAGGAAGCTTTTCAGATATCTTTTTTTTCTTTCTTCTATAAATAAAAAAATAAAAAAATAATTATTTAATTTAAAATAAAATAGGAAAGAACAAACAACAGACAAAAACAAACAAATAAATTTTGTGAAAAAAAGAAAAAGAAAAAACTACATGAAAAACAAACAGAACACCTATTGCTGTATTTACTTTCTGAATCAGTACTTTCAATTAAATCTTCTTTGCTGTTTACAATAAGAATAATGTTTAAAAAATATATAGAGGTAAGTTAATATTAAATCAAATTTTTTAACAATAAAATTTAGAATAATAATTTAGTAAATCGAGCCATATAAAATAGCTTACACTTTTCTTTTTTGCTTAGTAAAGTTCTCTTCGACATTAGAGGTCTCTTCTGCAATTGTCACCTTTTCACAGGCTTCTTTCTCATTACCTACCATATACATTCCAAAAATAATATTATTGAACTTAGCTTATATACAAATTGAATTGTAGTTAGTATAATGTTGCATAAATTTCATTACTAAATCATATTTGTATTATAAACAGCAAAGTTTACCTGCAACTGCTAACAATAGAATAGAGTATGTTTTCCAATCTATTTCAGGTTCAGAGCACTGCTTTTGTGCTCTACTGACTTTGCCTGAATTTGACCATGGAGGCCAGTAGCATTTTAATTCTATACACTGCCTAACCAACATTGAAACTTCTTGAAGTTCAATTTTATTGATAATCCAATTGAAAGGAATGTATTCAGTTTTCATCTCGTTGTCAAAAACCACAATAGCATACATTCCAGTGATTATTTAATAACTATAAAACTTATATAACTAAAATTAATTTTTAAATACTGTGAATTATTTTTAAAGTTAACATTCAAAGCAACGTAATAAACATTTATATATATATATATATATATATATATATATATATATATATATATATATATATATATATATATATATATATATATACATATATATATATATATATATATATATATATATATATATATATATATATATATATATATTCAAAGAAAAAAATATTCAACATTGAGAGCAACGTAATAAACATTGCATACATATATACACTTTATAACTAATATTACAAGTTAGTGGTACTGATGTGGTTAAACATCTAAAAATATGATAATATGAAAATTAAATATAAAAAAAAACAAATACAAAATTTCAAAATGTTTCAATAGTGCAATTGCGGCATTACAATAAATCCATTTTTATATGGTAAACAAAGACATTTTTTCACTGTGTCACTTAGCGGCAAACACTCATGTAAACCATCAGTTCTCTCAACCGTATAAATATTTAACTTCTGAGAATCACATGGATCTTTAAAAAAAGATTCTTTGTAAGCAAACGCCTCAAAAAGAATATAAGCATTATCACTGGTGGCAGTTGGTTTTAAAATATTTCTAACAATCCCAATTTTACCACATATTTCGAAGCAATTATCTCCGATACTGTTAGACATAAAATACTTTTTGTTCTGATACTGTTTGAATTGAAGATAATGGCTCAGAGTAATATTTACAGGACCTTCAGTGTGCAGTTTACTAAAACCAACAGAATGAATACGCTGACAGGTATAAAAATCTGCATTTTCAAAAATTCTTTTGGCAATTTGTGAACAAGGTGACTGGGCCTTGCGAACAAGCTTTTTTAATTGACCAAGATAACTTTCATATTTGAAGGACGAGCAATTATCAAGAGCACCATAGTGTTTTGCATCATCAGCTAAGTGTATTAATGAATGAACATTGTATACTAGCTGATCTCTACCGTACAACTCTTCAAAAGTCTGCACAAAATATTGTAACAACTGACCAGCATACCCAGCATAATGTTTAAGTAAAGAAGAACACAACAAAATCCTAACAGCAACAGATAAGTCAATAAAATTTTGATAATGATTAGGTAACAGCAGTCCTTTTAAAACTACTGGCCCTGTATAAACCAAAAAAGACGGAGCTCAGTAGCCTTCCATCGTCTAAATTCTGATAATGAACGAGACTTTCTAGAAAACTCTTTTGAAATATACAGTCTCAAAGCTGCCAGTATTTCTGAAATTACTGCAATAATATTTTGAGACAACCTACTTAAAGGTGGGCCACGAATCCATAAGTTTAAAATTCTTCTGACAACACCCAAACAAATGCAATGCATATAATCTATTGGAAAACCACTTACCATATTATAATTTAGCTTTGTAAAAGGAGATATTGCGTTATGGTGTTCTGAATCATGTTGATTTAAAAAGTCTATATTAGTCTTTAATGGAGCAGATAAGTCTGGTAAAACTATTTTTTGATACCACTCGCCAGGTTGAATACATCGTTCACAACAATTGTATCCATTATGTGTTTTAACGCACTTAACAAATGACCGAGCTGGTGCATCACAAATAACTGCTTCTAACTTTATTTTGTATGCTTTTTCAGTCTTGTCACATATAACACCAACTTCTTGAAAACGTTGCATTTCATCAATAAAATCTTTTAAATAGTTATCTATAGAATTTGGTTTGCAAGAACTGGAAAATAAAGCAATTGGAAAGACACTCTGTTCAAACTCTAAAAAAGAACCTAGAATTGGCCAAAGTGATATATTTGAGTTATTAAACAGCGGAACACCATCAATATTGATATGTAAAGTAAAAACTGAAAGATCTGTTGAAAGAAGAGATTTTTTTAATAGTAAGGAAAGCCAAAATTGCAATCCAATGTAATAATACTCACCACCTGCAACATATTTGGTTTCAATTTTCCTCTTTGTGTGTAGAAGTGATCTAGAATCTTTAGGCAAATCTGATCCATTTTTTCTCAGAACCTGTAGTAAACTGTCTAATGCATTGTGAGATATTTTATAACTGACTGCCCATTTTCCTAGATCCTTGTTTAAGCTTTTTTTGTTTGGGTTTAGTTGCTCCATCTCTTCGTTATCAGAATCATCATTGGAACGTGCAAGCCAATCATTATTATCATAAAATTCTGTAGTATTGTTTTTGTTTTGGTATTCATTCATATTTGAACCTTCATGTGAACTTTCATCTATATTATTGTTCTCCACAAATATTTCATTAACTAATTCGTAACTACTTAAAGAAGCTTCTTCGACAATTTTTTGCACCACCGCAGCAATTTTTCATCGTTTCGTTCTTTGTGAACTCATGTTTAATAAATGAAATTAAAAAATATATTTTAATTAATTATATACAACTGTATTTAACTTAACTATATTTATTTTGAGGAAAATGCCAGATTTTTGAGTAAGCGCGAAAATTATAAAGTCAGTTTATGAAAATTTCGCATGGTTGCGCGCGCATCCGGGAAATCCCTGAAGGGACCCAGATGAACCCCATGAAAAAATACCAGATTTAGCCCGTACCGGATGCCCAGATTAAAACCGTATGGGACCCGTATGGGTGTGCTTGCTGGGAGTTGTTTAAATAATAGTTAGACCAGCTATCACAAACTAAACAAAAAGAAATAAGACATACAAAAGTAAGTTGTTAGGTAATAGATTGAAGAAATTAATAAAAAAATGTTTGTACAAGTAATTTTTTATCTAAATTATTTTTCACAAACTGTATTCTTTTTTTTTTATTCTTTAAATAAATTAAAAAAACTATAAAAGTGACTTCTATTTTTGTCATACTTAATTCAATAAAGCTACAAGAAGGCTAGTGAGAACGTGACGTGACTAGAGGATTTAGTGTTTTACTTGAATAAAGTTGTTTAAGACGCTATCTAGCCATAAACCAGGAGAATTTGTTTTTGTGAGATATAATATCGTTTTTGACGCAAAAGTTCTGAGAACATTAAAAATTTACATTAAGGCCTCAATTTTTTTTAATAAAATTTTATGAGATGGTCTTGATTTTGTATGTACATACGCAGTGGCAGAATGTGTCTTTAAATAAAAAGAGAGTGGTGGCAAAAATAGTGGTTTAGTGCATACTCACTTTATGGAAGTCCTCTACTATAATATAATATAATTATAGTTTATATTATTACTGTACATTATTTTTTTTTGTTCGTAAAGGAAGAGGTTCTTGATCTCCACCCTGTGCGAGTTGCAACTAGAGCCCCACGAATCGGCAGTTTTATTTTTTTTGAATCGAATCTCGAATTGAAGAAGGTTTTGATTCGCGATTCGAATCACGTTTCGAATTAACATTTTGAAGTCTAATTTAAGCTCTTTTTATTTAATAATATATATTTCAAAATAAAAAAAAATAATTTTATAATCTCATTATTGATGCTTCTTGCCTTGGTTAACCATCTTAATGACTGATTAAAAAAGTATTTAAGGATAAGTAACGTGATTTTGATAGAGACAATGCGCAGAATATCAAAAATACTCACAAAAACAAAATAAGTAAGGATTTGATTTTTGGAAATTTTCGAATGGTATCTCGAATCATATTTTTGAATCGATTCAATTCGAAATTTGGAAGCTTCGCAGGGCCCTGTCACAACATTCTTATAATCTAGACAAACTAGATTGCAGACAAATTAAATCATTTCTAACAGAATATATGTTGTATATTTAACAAACATATAAAGTTATTTTTATACATATATTGTATGCATTAAATTTAAATTAATTATTTATTAAACATTTAATTAGACTATAAATGTATTTATCAAGTACTCTTGATGAGTTTTTAAATCTCTTTTTTTTTTTTTTTTTTAATTTTGAAAATTAAATTTTTTTTTTTTTAAAGCAAATAAATAAAATAAATTTGTAATATTCTTTATCCATTATGCAAAATTAGATATTCACTATGCAAAAATTATAGCCGGTTAATTGTGTAAAAAAATATTTTAACAAATTTTAATAATTATTCAAGATATACTTGAACATTGAACAGGTCTCTAATAATATTTAAAAAGTTTTTAATTAGTATATCACAAATAATCTAAAATATTAATTTAAAAAAATATATATCTATAAAAAATGAATGAAAGAACTTAAAAAAGTAAAACAACCTTGTAGAACTCTCTTTTTTCAATTTTAGTTAATAATATGTCGTTTTTTTAGCAGTAAAAACTATTTTTTTTATTATTTTTTGGGACCTGGTAAATATTTAAGGACTTTAAGGAAGCCCTAGAATAGCAACTAAAATTTGGTAAAAAACATTTTTTTACATTGTAGAAAAACACAAGAATAGAAAAAAAATTTAACTTGAGTGGTTTTAAAATTTTTTTTGCATAATGGACACCCCTTACTATTTATCGAGTCCTACATTTTTTTTTTCAAAAGACTAAAATATATAAATTTCTTTAAATTTTTTAATGAATTACTATGAATTTTAATGTAATGTAAAAGAGTTCATACTGCTTGAACAAAAATTGAAAAAAAATAAACAAACTGATAAGTAGATTAAAATTTTTCGTATTGAAGCGTGTTTTACTTAAATTTAAAGAATTACTCAACAATCATTATTTAAAAAATCACCGGCTGCGATTTACTTAAGAAAGAAAATCATCGTCTATTGCTTTTGCAACGTTTAGATGCGATAAGAAAAAACAGCACGAAAACTAGTTAAGAAAGCTGGCCAACGGATGAGTTTTAACTGAAAATATTTTTGATGCGTTTAATTAAGGACTTTCATACCGGGTGCGTTTAGCGTATGAAATTATGGTGTCATTTTTATAGGGGATAAGTGAATCAAACCGTTAAAACAAAATATTATATAAACTCAATTGATGATACTTCAAATAAAAAAAGGTTGTATAAAAGAGCTAACTGACCATGAGTTACTTATCAGAATAAATAAATTTAAACTATATCCTTCTGTATCTCAAAAACTAAAAAGAAGTGCAGAA